ACTAAAGCAACAGCAATTAGGGGTTAAAAACTAAAAATATATATGGTGTAAAGAAGTCCCTATGCTTGTTCAAATCGGTATGAAGAGTATAAGTGCATGATGAATGAGACAGGATGTCGTTAGCCTCTGGCTGCAATATAGCGATTGTACTTATGATAAGAAATTGTAGAGTCCACTAGTAGACAACTTTAGAGCCAAGATTACAGCAATAATAGAACACATGACTAGTGTCATGTGAATAAGCTGTAAAATTACTTTCTACTTTTTGCATTGCATTTGCATGTCTTAGGCTCGATTCGAACAAACTTTTATACGAGAATAACACCTAACACTTGACAGTTTCAGCATGGGAAATATGTCAAAATGTCGAATAACTGACGATTTATTCTGAGATTAATATTTACTCTTATTTGGTCCAATCCACCCTTAGGATAGTAACTACTCTTAAAATATAACAATAAAAACTCTAAAAAAAACGTTACAGGAGGAGAACTTTAGAAATATAACTTAATTGACCGATATCTTGATAAACGACCGTTCGTCAAAGTTTTATAACTATTTAAATCAATTAATATGATATTTATTGACTATATCAAAAATTAATATGATTAACGATTATTATAAAAGCTCATTAAAAGCATAAGTATCTGTAACGTATACATAATAATAATTTAAAATGGAACATGTCACTTTTACTACGAAATAATGATCTAATCAAAACTTGAACATCCTCTATATTTATAATAATACTAGCTGACCCGGCGAACTTCGTACCGCCTTAGCGTAGAGATTTTCTTTAAATTTTTTTCCGTAAGAACCATCCTTGGACTTCCACAAACATTTTAAAAAAAGAATTATCGAAATCGGTTCAGCCGTTCACACGTGATGCCGTGACAACGCGAAACGGGTTTCATTTTTATATATATAGATAACATAAATTATATCGTAAACTAGGTAAATAAAAAGACTACCGGTTCCTATATCGCTAAATTAGATTAAACAGATGTCGTTGGAAGTTCAAATGTACTCGTAGATTATAGTAAAACCAGGCCTGTTCATCTCCGCGAGTTTACATCGAAAACAAAGCAAGCACGATGGCACCCTACAGGATTACTTTTCGACAAGGCCTCACATCAGGTACGACCGAGCATTGACTCACGCACGCGTATTCTTGTGTATGATGGAAAAAATAAAGAAAATGGTGTACTTAATACTGTGCAGTATTAACTGCCTAAATAATAATAAAAACACAGAATGTACTCTTTTTAGTTGCCTGAAGACACTGAGAGGTAAATAAATGGTTAATGTTATTCAGGATAATAATTCATGCTTAATCATGTATTTCCTCTGCCATTTTCTGAAACCTCACGTCACACATCATTGTACCAAAGTCAGTCCTATGGCTTCGGCGCAGTACCGATCACTGACGTTTGTCAACAAAATGGTGCTTGACTCTTGAGACAAGCTAAATTACACCATATTGTTAATGACATTGAGCATACATTTTTTTTAATACCTTCGCGAAGACCTACAACGTGTGCTACTTCAAAAGTTTAAAATATTCAGCTAAAATGACTAATTTTTAAGTAGAAGTCTTCCAGCGACTTGGCCTACTTTCAGTTTGGTCCACGGGCCAAGTTGCCGGATTCAATTTTTAAATGTTTTTTCTTCCGACAACTGAGCCCACTTTGGCCCGTGGACCAAGCTAAAAGTGGGCCAAGTAGCCGGAAGACTCATTAAAAAATAACAAAAAATTGGGCATGTTTGTTGACATCGGACATAATTAAAAAGTAACGTAGACTCTCTAATTTGGGGTCAATTAAAATGAATTCAGTTAGATAACGATTATCATAGATACATTATGCAAGATAAGCACCTGCTAAATTGGCCAGTAAATAAATTACCATAATTGAAAGTTAATGAAGAAGAAGCTGGTTTTTTTTTTTTTTTTTTTATCCACAACGAGGAAGCTCTTTGATTTTGATTTTGATTTGAGGAAGGATTGCTCGCAAACACGCGCTCGGATGCCAATATTGTAATCAGTGGTCAGTGTAATTTTAATGTTGGCTATGTCCACATCTAACACATTTATTGCTACACTTTCAATGCTAATAAATGTATAATACCTAAGTAGGTATAATACAAGAATGGGTTGCCACTGATTAGCCTAAGAAATACATTTGTTCGATGGTATCCTATTAAACTTCTATTTATTTCTTGAGATGTCCATACCTCCATCTTGATACCATAACTGTAGGATATAAAGGTTCACATTATTATTAAAAAAAAGTCAAAAATATGTAAAAGAATGAAAATGCTCTATATTCTGTAATTAATCATTGAAAAACTTTACTAAGACCATACGCTTTTTTATTTAACATCTATATATATAAAAATGAAACCCGTTTCGCGTTGTCACGGCATCACGTGTGAACGGCTGAACCGATTTCGATAATTCTTTTTTTTAAATGTTTGTGGAAGTCCAAGGATGGTTCTTACGGAAAAAAATATTAAGAAAATCTCTACGCTAAGGCGGTACGAAGTTCGCCGGGTCAGCTAGTTGTAAATATTTGTTGACAACCATGAAAAAGGATTTTGATGCAGCTTAATATTGAGCTTAATTTTCTTTGAATGCAAATAAACATTTTAATCCTCATTGACCATATGAAAATTACAGAGGCACTTCCACACTTTACAGTAGTCTATAAGTGTTACTTAAATTGCATAATACATCCGGTAAGGTAATAGGAGAGTTAAATAATAGTTAATTAACCAGATAATGAACACGTTGAACGAAACTGACATAATGTATTAACAAATACTACATGATGCATCTATAAACGATCTTTCGGATCAACCAATCGAAGACTAAAAGTAAAGTAATTCTGCATACTAATTGATCGATCAGCTGTTACAATTTGTATAGCTTAGTGAATAGAGCCAAAAAATAATTAAATATTAAAATAGCTATCTAATCGTTTATTTTTAGTTTCCGCAAAAACCGGATTCCATAAAACCGTAACTCATTCCATAATTCACCGGCACTGAGATGCAAATTTTGATTACTTAACGAAATTAATTATTCTACATAATCCGTTATAATTCCGGATCTTGGACTTTAAACGGCATATTGATGTGCACGACAGCACGTCAAGTATATCTTACTTATATCGTTGGAATAGAGGTGATATTGCAATAAAATTGTATAGTCTGATATGCTCTAGTCTGTATATCGCACCAAAATCGTTCGTTTTAATAACTTTCACGGATTTCAATCGCTTTCTTTTATTAGAAACAGTACTTTTAAGCAAAGTCTGAATCTAGACGAGTGCAGCTCTCGATCTGTGCCTTTCTTTTTTTCTTTGCTGACAGTTTAGACGCAAACAATGAGATCAAAAAATCTGAATTCGGATCTGTCATTATTATTTGTCAAGTTGTTGCGGTTATGGTGACAGTGCGCAAAGCATTTCCTAAAAACGGGCTAGTAAAATATAATATACAAAAACAAAGGACTCACTTACGCAGGATAAATAATGAATACATCCTGATTTTACTCAATTTCCAAAATTGTTAAGGGACTCTTGTCTATCCGTGGTTTACCACCCAAAATGGCAATGCCAGATTTTGTATGGAAGGTGGCGTCTTTTTTTTTTTCAAACCCATCTTTGTTTTTTGATTACAAAATAGTGTAATAAACCAAACTTACTCTGACATGTATACCTCTAAACTCAGTCTGAACTGAGTTACGAGCGTTAGAAGTTTGATGATTTACATACTAGATTTGCTTTTTGCGCGCAAGTTTTGTAAGAAATTGCAACAAAATATTGCGCTATTTTTTATTGCGCTGATTCTGGTCCACACTGATGTCTGGAGCCTTTAATGGATGGTATTGTTTGTTTACACACACAATGTCACTATTTTGTTGCAATTTCTTACAAAACTTGCGCGCAAAAAGCAAATCTAGTATGTAAATCATCAAATTTCTAACGCTCGTAACTCAGTTCAGACTGAGTTTAGAGGTATACATGTCAGAGTAAGTTTGGTTTATTACACTATTTTGTAATCAAAAAACAAAGATGNTGGGTCAAGCCCCAAATTTAAAGTATTTTCACCGATAAAATTGTCAATAGATTACGCCCTTAAAGTTTGATCACTACATGCCCGGACACACTGTATATGAATTTAACTCAACTAGCTTCTGAAGCCTAGAATCATATTTATTTCTAGAAAATAAGTTTGATTCTAGCTGCAATGATGATGCATGGGTTCAATTTGTTTGTCCCTCTAGAAATCGAACATAGGTCCTTCCGAATTAACAACTAGACCATAAAAGCTTTAGTCATAAAGATAGAACATTCATTAGGGAAATAATTACATGAAAAACTGCTGTCTTAATAAAAGCTTTGGTTGTATTTCCCACCATTACTTAGTTCTCATTGAAACAGCCTGTATATGACAACATCTGTTGACCCCAAATACAACTTTGACACGCAAGTGCCATGCAAAGATATTACGAATGTCATTAGAATGACCCGAATGACATTACTTGGATGTTTTGGTAAAATTACTTGCCCCAGATTTACTGCTTGCATATAACTGGCGAAAACTGTCACCTTAACTGTAAAATTAGTGAGCTAGAAATATTTTTACATGCAATTGAAAATTAAGGATTCGGATAAATTTATTTGTTGTAATATGTAAGTTGCCTCCTGTAAAATTATGATTGGTTTATTTATGTAATTCTACAAAGTTGGTACATAAAGCGAACTTATTGCCATTGGGCATTCTCTGCCAGTTCACCTGTTAAGGTGTCAAAAACTATTATTTCTAGTAGAATATAAACTCGCAACCTCTAGTCCTGAGCACAGACCACCTGAATTGGCAACTGTCAAAATTGTGGGTACTTTGTTGATTTTAAAAATGCTATAAATAATCACGAGCTTACAGTTTATCGGTGCCACTTAGTTATTCGCCCAGAATAGTATGTAAATAAATATTACCAGTGCAATCCACCGCATCGCGAGCCAGCCGGTGTTTCTGTCAAAAGAAAAAAATCAACCTTAAAAATAGCACGTCACTTCACGTATACGTATCACTTCACTGCGTATCACGTACGCGTATCACTTCACTGCACTGCGCGCACCTGTTGTCCAGTGGGGTCGGGAGGCAATGGTCCGCTTCTGCGTGGAGCCTCCACTTATATACCTCGGAAATGTAAGATGCCGCCGCAGCCTCTGACCGAGCGCCTCCGTGCACTCTTGTGAGGTTACACCGTGTTCGGCGAATGAGTGTGCGAGCTTATTTACTGACTGAAGCATTATAAACACTTTATGGAACTCGTTTTCCATTTATTCATTCATTTGTTTGTTTTAACCCTTGCTCTTCTGTTTCTTTAACTACATTCTACCTGTATTACCTACATTCATTCTCTATAACTACATGCATATTAAAAGTTTATCTTCTCGTAGACACTGTATCCGTATCTTCCCGACTCTACAATCGAAAGCTAACAGATATAAATTACCTAGGTATGTAGATTTCATTTATATTTGCAGATAAGGTGTTAAATAAAAAAATTTCAAATAAGTATTTTTTATTTGACCGAAGACAGAATTTTTAACAAACGTGAATAGTGATAAAATAAAGCTTGCTTTAAGTAAAGCTGATCAAGAAAGCACTTAATGTTTTTAAGTTATATTTATAAAACTGCGAAGTTTCAACATTGATTTTTTTACGTTTTCAAAGCATGCACATGTATTTAGAGAGCGCATATAGAGCTGGGTGGCGCTTTCGTTTTATTTGCATAGGCAGTGGTAGAGTACGTCCTGCTTCATACTCTTGGGTTAATAAAGCTGTCTATAATCGAAAATTTTAACACAGTGACAGCGTTACTAACGTGACCTCGGAGCTAATTTGCGCGCCGAGATAAAATCTTATCGATGACTAGCGGCCGCCCGCGACTTCGTACGCGTGGATCCCGTTTTACCCCCTTATAGGTGGAGTTTTGTAAAATCCTTTTCTTTGCGGATGCAAAGAGAATGAATGTAGGTAATACAGGTATTACCTACATTCATTCTCTATAACTACACTGCATATAAAGTTTATATTTACGTAGACACTGTATCCGTATCTTCCCGACTCTACAATCGATAGCTAACAGATATAAATTACCTAGGTATGTAGATTTCATTTATATTTGCAGATATGGTGTAAAAAAAATTTAGAATAAGTTTTTTTCATTTGACAGAAGACAGAATTTTTTAACAAACGTGAAGAGTGATAATATAGAGTTTGCTTCAAATACAAAAAGCTGATCAAGAAAGCTCTTGATATTTTTTTATTTATATTTATAACTCTGTGACGTTTCAACGTACCGGAAAACGCAGCGTGGGACGTCCACCCACATGTTGGACCGACGGCCTGATAAAGGTAGCAGGAAGGCGCTAGATGCAGGCCGCTATCAACCGTGCGATGTGGAAGTCATTGGGGGAGGCCTTGTTCAGCAGTGGATGTCCTGTGACTGAAATGAATGATGATGATGATGAAGTTTCAACATTGTTATTTTCAAAGTTTTCAAAGCACGCACATGTATTTAGAGAACGCATGTAGAGCTAGGTGGCGCTTTCGTTTTATTTGCATAGGCAGAGGTAGATAAGAGTGCGACCGGCCTTACCATACTCCTAGGTCCGTAAAAGCGGTCCATAATCAAAAATATTAATACAGTGACAGCATTACTAACGTGACCTCCGGGCTAGAATACGCGCCGTGATAAAATCTTTTATCCCGTAAAATCTAATTTAATTAACTTAAAATGATTTTATCCCGTAAAATCGATAAAATGGCGCGATAAAGCTTATCCTGACGAATCCTAGGTCTACTGACCTAGTAGTTCGTGTACTAGACTTCATTTAAAGGTTAATATGCACCATCTAGTACCTAGTCTTCTATTTTAAAAAACAGTCCCTGTGAAGTATTTATTCATATGCATCAGTATTTCATGCATTTTATTGATACTAATTATTTATCTGTAGTGATGGGTGCAACATTGTTTGTAATTTTATCGTAAAATGAAACTTCAATACTAATTATCTAATCTCAAGATGTTATTTCGATGCGTATCGTTTATTTACGATAGTATTGTTTTGACATAGAGATACCTAGTTACTAAGACTAACTTGACGACCAGACCAAATAGAGATAAGAACTAGTGATATTTATTATATCTGTCTATGTTATAAACACAATTCATCATTGAGGAAGGTTATAGATCTGTAAATTCCATTTTATCTAAGGCAATGATATACTAAAACGTTATGACAAAGTACTGAGGTAGCTGTTAGATTTCGTAATAATCACTACCATTGTTGTGATAAAAAGAACACTAAGCTAATACACATAGAATTCAGAATCTGTTATTCTAACGCCTTAGTTTGTCTCGTTCTTATCAGTTTCACTTTATGATTAGGTTTATCTTCAATATCAAAGAAAATCTGCAGTCATTTAATAACAATATTTAATCTTAACCTAAAGCAAACAGGACTAGAGGACAAGTTAAACACATTTCGTCACAATTTTTCTTATTTCTTACTTTTACTATTTTTTACAATCACGGTCATTTTGGTTAGAAGCATTTTCAGTTTGTTCAATCGAATTCATTAGTATTATATTCTTTGTCTCTGGAAGAAACCAACACGAGATCGCTGCACTGAAAGCTAGCACACTAATTATTAGAATGGACACCCACTCTATTCCAATATTGACCACAAAAGGAGCTGCTATACCACCAATCCGTCCAAAGACCGAGCACATACCCATCGCAGAATTCCTTATAACAGTGGGAAATATTTCGGTAGTATACAAATAAATTAACACAAAAGCACTAAATGCCCCTATCTGCCCTAATAAAGCAAACGCTAATATAACTCCTTCCATAGACTTGGGTATGATAAGGAATAGTAGTAAAGATAACGCTGTGATGCTAAAACACGTGATGACAGTTACTTTTCTTCTAAGATATAGGGAGGCTATGACTGTGAGACCTGGAGACGGAGCAAGGGATATCGCGGAGAGAGCCACATTCAGGTACATGTTACCTCCTAATCGACCAATGTACTGGTTGATTCCGAAGAATGTGAACGCACAAATGGCCCACACAAAAGGGGTTATGATGGAGTACACTCTGATCCTGGGCGTTCTGAACAAGTCTAAATAGGATCCACTGCGGTGCTCCTGGTCCTTGGACAGAGACTGTTCTTCTATTTGATCCACAATTATTTCGATGTTCTCTGTTAGTCGGTTATTCCTGTAATGCATAAAACATAATGGTTAAATTCATTGTAGCCAATGTCCTTGTTAATTCATCTGATGGTCAATATTGGTATTTTCGAATAACATTTCGTTCGTTTGTTCGCTTCAACCTAATGACCTCTAATGCTGGACAAAGGCCTCCCCAAAACATTTAACAATAAGCTTGTTACAAGTAGAGACCATGATAAATGATTTCAACTGTTGCAGACTAACTTACCTCTTTGCTATCCGCGTTAAAACATCGACAGCCTCTTTCTTCTTTCCAACCGTTATCAACCACCGCGGAGATTCGGGTATGAGCCAGTAGTACACAAAGACCACCAGCCAGGGCATGGACGTGATCTTCTGGAGATCTCTCCACTCACGAGCATAGTACGCTATGATTGGCAGAAAGAAGTACGCTATCACGTATGCTGACTCAATCAGCCCCATGCCATAAGGTCGGAAGGATTTTCCACTCAATTCGATTATCATGACGAAGCAGCACAGCATTGTTCCTCCCACGGCTGTTCCTGATAGAAATCGGAACAGTATGAACATCCATAGTTTGGTGGAGAAGGTTGAGAGCGTCGCAAAGATGGAGCTGCAGAACAAGGCAAGCACGACTGCTCTTTTTCGTCCGTATCTAGAAATATAAAAACATTAATGACATTTTTGTCATATTTTGTAACAAAAAATTAAAAATGTTTTATACAAGTTATTGCGAAATTATGTAGGTATGTGTGTGTAATTAACACTTCTGTAATACTTTAGGTTATAATTTGGACTAACGGTTTATACCTATCTACATTATTAATCGTAGTATATACCATATACCATGAATATACTCAAGGTTTCCATCAGCCAATTTACATTTTAATCGCTCACTATTCGCTCTTGCACTGCAGAACAAAGAAAGGTGTAGGCTATTTTTAGGCATTACTTATTTACTTCATTATTGTATGTGTCACTTTTGGCTGTAGTGAGTTCTAAGGTATACAGTGAAGGATTACAAAACATTTACCTGTCAGAAATGTGTCCATAAAACAAACTACCGACCGCAATCCCAACTTGCAGCATTGACTGAGCTAGACTTGACAGTGTCTTCCTTTTGCAGACCAGTCCAAATTCACTCGTGACGGAGCTCAAGATCGTGCTAGTGTCAAAGTCAGGGCTCTCACAGGGACAATAGTTTGTCGCATTCTGTACCCCATCGTCTAAGCAAGTATAATCCGTATTGGGCAGCAGAAACACTACGTTGCTCAGTTCAAATTCCGTTGGCAAGCGACCCACCATCAGCAAAATTAACACAAAGGTTTGATACCTGCCGAAACGACCGATCACTTTCTCTATAGCATCTTCAGACATTCTGATATTTAGGTTTCACAATAAACTACAAACACGTCTGCGCTCTCCATAACATTTTAGATTAAAAGACACACGTGGAAATCTGGACTAGACTGATCTTGATAAATAAGCCTCTTTAAGACTGTTGATAAAATACGAGTACTCAAACGTTTTTATCTTAGCGAAAAGTAAAACCAACTGAAGTGAACGTGGATCGGCAGCTGCTTTATGTGTTTGTATATCTATAGTAGGCATAGCATGAAATTAAATTAAATGAACATGAACGATGCGACAATAAATATTTTTAACCTTCATTTGTTTTCACATTCAGTTGCGGAATGTACGAGTAATATAGTGTATAGCAGTAATAAGCATAAATATTTACGCTAAAAACAATGAAAATAAATTAAATTCGCTTCTCGATATTAGGTCGTAACCATAAGATAGAGATGTGTAATACTTTGAGTATTACAAAATAAAGGAACTTCAAGATCAAATAAAACTTTTTCCCATCAAGTTCAATCAATTAAGATGACCTAATTATCACAAGGCCAATTAAAATCGTGCGCTTGAGCAATTCCGACCAACTCTGTCGGATATTATGCGAACTTCCTTCCGCTACAATGATCTGTCTCGAGCCTACAAAACCGCTTGTTCAAGCATCCTGTGTCAAAAATTAGATAATGATATATACAGGGTGGAAACGTTAAGTGATCTCACTCGATTATTTCTAAACTATACAAGATATTGAAAAACTGGTTACTGATCCTGAAAGTGCTTCATGAGCTCTTTCAAACGGTACCAACAATAGGTTACAGAATAAACTGGATCTATCTGAAAATTCAATGTTTCCAGCTTCCATACTAAATGTATGCCAGACACACAATATTAGAAGTGTATTTTTATTTTATTGAATAATAAACTCTTAAAATAAACTCGTAAATTGTATTCTTCTTTAAAATTATTCATGGAAAACATTAGTTTTAAGCTTTACTTGCTATAATATTCTCAAGAGATGAGTGTCATGACTGTAGTAGTACTAAATGTATGGAAGACGGGAACATTGATTTTTTTGATAGATCCCGTTTCTTCTGTAACCTAATATTGATACCATTGGATAGAGCTTGTGAAGCACTTTTAGAATCAGTAATTACTTTTACGATATCATGTGTAGTTTTTAAAATAATGTGACTTTACCAAATGTATGGAAGCTGGAAACATTGAATTTTCGGATAGATCCAGTTTATTCAGAAACCTATTATTAATACCATTTGATAGAGCTCATGAAGCACTTTCAGGATCAGTAACTAGTTTTTTGATATATTGTTTAGTTTAGAAATAATCGAGTGAGATCACTTATCGTTTCCACCCTGTATAGATGGACAATATATTAAATTATGTTGACACGTAGCAAACACAGACATAATAAAGATAAAAAGTTCTTACACAAATTAAGATTATTATTTAGGTTAAAACTCTACCTTGACGTTGAAACATAGTTTTATTCCTATCAGCAATTTATTTATAAGATGACTTACGATATCTTGTCTGAATGTAGCTATATGAAAAGAACACATGAAATTAATTTCATGCGATGCAAAAAACAAAAACTGACGTAAGATGCTAAACTTACTTAAGCGTAGTCGCCATTAAGACACTATCAAACTTCTAAGTGAAAAGAAGATGAGTGTGTACCTACAAATTAATAGAGAGACATATTATTATGTCTTCCGTTCTCCAGACAGATATACTATAAGCGGTCCATACTCGTAGTCTTCCAGGATATCCTGGACCCGAAACTTTGTAGTAGTCACGTCTCACTATTGACGAAAGACTTTTTGAGAGATATCGGAGGTTCGCAAAGTGTAGAGGCAAAAAGATCCCTATGTATCGCACTGAACTGTGGGTAAAATGAAGTCCCAAACCATGATTCAAGAGGCTCCAACCGTAGTTAAATACTTACGAATCGCTCATGTCACTTGCATAAACTATGCAATGGTTTAATAAAGCATAGTCTATGGCAAGTGTAAACATTGGCGCAGTTTGCTTTGTTTACAAGTTCGGAAAACATGTTGCACGATAGTGTAGATCCAGCGTTACACTGAAACAAATCGTGTAGTCTATGATGCAAAGCCCCTCACCAAAACAATGACGGGAATGCGACGGCTATTAAAGAGTCGCATAACAATTAGTGGAGAAAGAGACAGTTCCCTCGACAAATACGTTGCATAATGAGATGGGCTAATTAAAAATGAACGCTTAGGCTGAGAACTTTGGAAAAGGCTCTAGTCGCATGTGAGAATACCTAGACGAGTAATTATACTAGACTGACATAGTAACGACTGTTGAACCTAACCACACTTGACTATTATTCCGTGGCATTATTTTTAACTAAGTATAATAATGCTCATCAGACAACAGATGATTTGGTATCATTGTCTTAATTGCTGGATTCACTTGTTCTTAAAGACCTAAACATTAAGTTTCACTAGATTGACTTGAGCCATGAGGGATAGTTATAACAATAAAAGCACGTCGATATTCCGAATTTGTAACAATGTCATCTCAGATCCCATCTTGAGAATGAATAGAAATTCATTCTTAAATTTAACACCAGAGTACCGGAAATGTGGCAAAATAAAATAATTGGTGATATAAAACGGTAATATATTTACATTTCACACATTAGGTACGCGCCGCAACACTATTGTAATGATACATCTCTCGTTCACTTGCGTCATAGCTCACACTCTGGCTAGGGTTGTCAAGCACTTAGTGGGTAACGAGTTTACTATAGATACTGTAAAAATATTCCTTGGCTGCTCCTAAATACCTTAAAACATTATACTTGTACACAACGTAACAAAATATGGGATTTAATTCTCACCTGGTATAGTCGTTATTTTATTTAAATTTCAGTTAATTTAGTAAGTATATTTTTAGCATTATAATAATTGTCGTCTTCTGAGACGAGATTCTGATCTAAGATGTCCAAATCACACCATGATCCACTGCCAAATAAACGCGTTCTTCGTTGATCTCCTGCATAGCGATTAGAGAAAAAAAATCGTCCTTATTTTACTCCAAGAAAATAGTTTTCTAAATTATAAGATTTCTCGTGCCAGTCCATCCATCTATTACTAATTTATTTTTATAGACCTTCTAGAAACATGAAATATTTTCCATCTTTACTGGTATTTTGAGTTGAGGCAGCCCTAAAACTTGGTCTACTTTAAAAAAGACAAACAAAAATAAAAAAATCTTCATAGAAGTGCAGTCAGCACTTCCATTTCTCAGCTTCCTCAAACAATTGTTTTAAAAATGTTTGCATAATCGTTTTGAATTGTTAATTTCCAAACTAAATTTGAATATCATTTATTCAAATTTAGTTTGGAAATTAATGAACGAATGAACTCATCATTGTAGGTATATATTTCTTTCCATTTACAAAGTTGAGGGATTTCGTTAGAACTTGTATACAGCAAAAAGTTATTAAGATTACAATTTAATGTACACTATTACTGGTTCCCAGCGTGTGGGCTGCAATTATTTCCAAACTTATCGTATCTGCATCAGTCGACGAACGTTCACGTAATCTTCGAACTTCATAATCATAGTAAATTCGTTTCAAGTGTCAGTCAGAATTGCTATTAATTTTGACCGCCAGTGTAAGCTTTCACAGCAACACTCACAGCTTAATTGCAACACGATGATCTGTCAAAAATATTTCGTTCAACCTGCTTAGCATTAGGCGCTTATCACACCAAGATGAAAGATCTGGTTTAAGATGTAAAACAAAGCAACAAAGCAGTTCCTTGCAAAGTAAAGCATGGCTTTTAATATTATTTTCTAATTTAAGGCTGAGTTGCACCACTTAACTTTGACCGTTTTTTTTGTATGGAGTTTGACAGATGTTTGACGTTTGTCAAAGTTAAAGTAAGATGGTGCAACCTAGCCTAAATCTTTTGCTACTTTAAACAATAAACCTTTTATTGTTGAAGTTTTTCAGATATATGATAGTGTGTGAATGTGCATCGTGAATGCATAATTGGAATAAAATAGTCACTTTATATCCAAAACTGAACTAACTAGCCTAAAAAAACATTCCGTGATCAGTGAAATAAAAAATATTTTAAAAAATTGAGTCATTATTTGAAAACCTAGTGTGAATACAACTCAACCAAATGTCGAAACTTAAAATGAACTCAAAAATAGTGTTCATCATTTTTTACTTTACACTTTTGATTAATGAATTCGAAAAGATCATTTTTCTTTCGCCAGTGCCGAAATTTTGGTTGTCACTAATTATTGTAAATTGTAGGAGCTTCATGATCGTGTAACTTTGGCATAAATAGGTATTCGTACCTAGGTGTCGAAAATATTCTCAGATGGGTAGGATATTAAAACAGATAAAGCAAGTCAAAAGAAACCTGAAAATACGTATTTGGATTTGCTTGTTCTACTTACAGAATCTGTTTGATCTACCTCAAAGCGAGCTTTCTCAGAAGTAATAAACTTTACCTAATATGTATAATGGTTATGTCGGTATGTATTTATTATTACATTATTGAAGATACTTAGGAATGGCATTTCACGCGGTAGATTCATGATCAAGATGTACAGTCACGGAATGAAAAGGTTCGTCAGTTTTCAAATTGATTCCTTCAACGAATCGCGAGCACTTATTACCTTTTGAAACTATGTTACAGAATAATCTCGAGTTAGAGAAAATAATCTTTAACTGTTCGTCAGTAAAGTTCAAAATTATTCAGATCAAAGTTGTTTGACGATTTATCTTGTCAAGAAGATTATTATGATTGATAAAGTAAAACCTTCTTGTTGGTTCAACCTGCCATTATTAATTCCTATTAAATAAAAAAACTATTGTCAATTGGTCAATGTCATCATTGCATTGCACTGATGGGATAGAAAAATAAACAAGCAAAACCTTATTCGTTAGCAAACGTCATATTTATTTAAATGTTAGCAGCACTGTTTCTTGCACTGTTATGTTGGCAGGTTTGACTCTTACAGTACCTAGTGCAAGCGAAAATCGACACTAAGGTGACGAACCTTTTCATTCCGCGACTGTACCTTGTTGAGATAGGTACAGTCAAAAGCACATCAGGCTAAACATTTATTTAGCAAAATTGTACTAAAATAAGATGCCAGGTTTTCTAGTAATAGTACGGTGTTGTCTGTACAGACGACAACACTCCAATCT